TTAATATCGCTACGTGTTTGTGTGAATAAAACCTTTGGCACTTCCTTCACTTTTCCAGCACAAAAATATTTTTCTAAAAAATTACTCTTATTATTTGATTCTTTACTATTTCATTTATTAACCTTTCCTTTTTGTTTCTGTTTATGTTCTGTTGATATAATCATCTTTAAACTAAATTTCTCTAGAATATTTTTTCTCGTGTTCCACAAAGAAAATTATATCCCTCTGTTATTTGTTTCATTCAGGACTGCAAAATATATGGGGACTACCTGCCTAAGTAAAGGAATATTTTTTTAGAGGACTTTCGAAGGGGTACTGTCCTACATTTACTTTATTCCCAAGAATATTCATGCAGCCAGCCCATTCACTGGGATTCAATCCCAGGTTAAACAGTTTAGTAAGAGTATGGCATTATGTATGATTATGATTTTTGATAGCAAGGTTTTATTGACCTTTCCTGCTTCTTGCCGTATTAAGTTCATGCAGATAACATATATAAAAATCTTAAATTACCACATTGTTACTTGCGTATTTTCCTCTTTTTCCTACTAATTTTACTATTTAAAAATTGGAAAGGAAAAAACATGCAGTGTTTTTAAAGAGATAGTTTAAATGATAAATATAGTAATTAAAAAGCATACCTATAGACATTAATATTTTATTATAGATCTGCTTTATTGTTGAAGGATTCCCCTTGGAGGTGGCCTAGGGAATAAAACGGTGGTAATTTGTGAGCTTTAGGTCTGGTTAGTGCAGTATCTTGCAGCTCATAAATCATGATTTCATATTTTTAATTTTATAATTTCTGCATTAATTTCTACAGATTTAAACTGATGATCTAATATCTGAAAAAAATCCCAAATCCGTAATCGCCAAAGTCCCGACGAGTCCGGATCTTGGACTTTGTACTGTATTAATTTTTTCTTAATGTAAATTGCCTTTTTGCAATTTCAGCATTTTATTTTGCCACAACTGCTGCCTTTAGCGATACTATAGAATTTGACAGTCACACCTCAGTAATTTCTTGTTTATGCTATCAATAAGTTATTTTCTCACGACTGTCCTGTTAACACTCCTAATTTTCAGTATGAAGTTACTGTGAGGTTTTCTACTTAAGTAATAGTAGGGTAATAGTGATAGTGATTATTAACTTAGGTAATAGTGATAACTTTGTTAGGGTCATGAAATATCGCTGTTATTATTTTACAGCCTTCTGCAACGGTAGCAGACATTTTTTATGCGCATAACAAAAAATTAAAAATTAATACTTGGCTAGGGTGTCATGCGGCATCAAACATAAACATTGGTGTGAAATCTAACTAGTTGGCAGCAACCCTGTCAATACGTAAAGCTTTGTGAAAAAAATGAACTTTTAATAACTATAATAAATCATATAATATATTTTAAAACTCGGCAGTAATACAGTACAATGTCAGAGATCTGGACGTCCAGTATCCGGAATGATAAAAAATCCGGACCTCAAAGGCCACTACCAACTTTTTTAAATGTTGTTATATTCTTTGTTGTGGTCTGTATGCATGCGCATTTGACCTCTCCACATAATAAAACATGTGGAGAGTGCCGATTCTTAATTTCACTTCGGAACTATCTAAAATACCTCATTATTGAAGACACAATCATTTTAGCATAAATTTATATGGTGAGTAATTTGGCTCCATAGCTGTCGGTCATAAAACTCAAACTGAAACATTCTACAGATACATCGTTGATTTTACACCTACTAATATTTTAATACCCTGACCAACCTGGCGAGTCATTATTCATTATATTTTGTTTTCATTACCACATGTTTATCAATTCATGAAAACTTGAGTAATATAAAAGAAGTTTTTCACTGTGATGACATTGCTCCTCAATTACCGGATTTCGATTGACAAGTTAGTCAGAATTCTAGGCACAGCAATTGCAGAACTTCAACAATGGAACTTTGTAACTGAATAAAAAAATATGTCTGTCTATAAAATTTAAGAGAAAGTATTAGCACGAAAAACGAAGCAACTTTAACAACTTGAAAGAAATGTTTAATAAAGTAAAAAAATAAATAGTAAGCTTTTTTTTTTTTTTTTTTTAAATTTTGATACACTTTAGATCACAAATGCTTCATTATTTCATAAATCACGATTTCATATTTTTAATTTTATAATTTCTACATGCCATCTTACTAGATTTAAGCTGATGATCTAATATTCGAAAAAATCCAGAATCACGGAAGTCCCGACGAGTCCAGATCTGAGACTTTGTACTGTATAGTGCTTGAGTAGATAAACAAGTGGTCAAAAACTGAAGTGATATAACAGTTAACTTAGTTTCCCTTATACAATTATTATATAAATTAACTGTTGTATAATTATTAATACTGTTAAGTGAATCTAGCACCAGAGTGTCACTATGGTATACAAATACTAGAGTGAATTTTAAAGAATGCATTTATTCTATTGTGGTTTATGCGCTGTCGGCGAAGTAGATTTAATTCAATCCAATAAGTTTAAATGAAATGCAAGAAAAAATGCGTATAATTTAATACTCCAATACAAGGAAGTCATGTAGTGTACACATCAGATTTTTTTTTTTTTCCCCCATAACTCTTCATGTTTTAAAGTAAGTTTTTAACCCCTTAACTGTGGCATATATTTCAGAAAAATGCACACAATATGAAAAATGTTTTTGATTGTGTAATTTTGTTTTTTATATCAATGTAAATGTTAGAAAATGTTTATTTATTAAAAATAAAATTTTAAATGCTATACCTACTATGTTTACTTTCCTTATATTCATTGGTAGAAATATCAGTATCCGATCCCAAAGAACCCAAACTATATTTCTCATCAATGTCTGAATCAGACATTGAAAAAAAAAAAAAAAAAAAAAAGAGAAGTCTTTTTGGTAAGTCTTTTTTTCATGGAAAGCAACAGAAATAAGACCTGAAACTAAATGTGTAAAAGCGAAATTCTCATTCCAAACATGTGTCTTTGTTTAGTTGAACAGCTAAACACGCCCATGCCTTTCCCTAACTGAAATCGGTGAAAACGTAAGACCTGTAATGTCATCTATTAAGAAAATGGTGAATTAAGCCTTAAATGAATATCCTAAAGTGAAAATGAACTCAGTTCAGGCTTCACAAAGTAGAAACACTAATTTTTTTTTCTGCCCAAAGTCAGTTCAGGCATGCATCACAAATACTGCACTTAGTATTTGCCCAAACTGGACTTGGGTAACACTGGCAAGGTGTTAATGTATATTTAAATGTTCTTTATTTATCTAGATAAAATTTATAAAACACGTTTGGCATAAGAAAAAATTCTAGTTATTAAGGATATTAAAAATATGTTACTTTATGCTTCATTTCCATTAAGTATTGATATTAGATATGGACTTGGAATGAAAAGAAATCTTTTAAAATAAGGAGTTTACTAAAGCATTTTCAGCACTGAGGGTGAAAAGTTTTTGTAAGTACAAAATCTTTTTAATATGGTCCCTGAAGATAAAAAGTCAAGCATATGTTTAATTATACTTTAGTAAGTTAAATACAAATCATTCCAAGCCCTTACAAATTTCTTGGCGGTATTTGAGAACAAACACTTTGATAACATTTTACTGTCTAGGCAATTTCATCGAGATTTTGACCAGATTTAGGGAGGAATATGCTTAATGCTTTATGCTTAATTTTGGGATTAATGGTTCCATATTGGATAAAATTGCATTCTCGATTAACTCTATGGCTGCCCCCATGAAGCCATTAATTACTAATATCTTCATGTATTCTGCACATAAATATGTGGAATGAACTTGTAGAAATATAACGAGCATTTTACTAATCTGGATATTTTGCCATAGGAGATCATGTTAAAGACAAGTTTTGTAATTTCAGAGCTTTTCTATGTCCTGGCTGTGCCTGTGATTGAGTGCATGAGATCACTAAACATCAGTACTGTGACTCGCATGTGAATCCTGGCAAATGAGCTGGTCGCATGGGCATTTTCATAAACTTACTCATGTTTAACATGAATTTCAGCCAGTTTCTCATAGAAAATTCTCTGAAAAAAGCATTCCATTTCCCACTGAAAAAGCATCCCATTTCTTTGACAGAGACCATTGTCTGCCCACCCTTAACCAGATAACCAATAAACCCTCAAAATTCCTGAATGGCTGAAACTATTTTCATAAAATTTTCTACTTTATTTGAGAAATGTTTAATTAGAAGTATATCTACGTTATCAATATTTAAGGTAATAAAGCCTGTAGCCATTTTACCATATGTTTGTATATATATATATATAATGCTTTTTATTATTGGTTCCTTTATCTTTTGGCCACAAATTGCCAAAAAATGTGTTCAAATTATTGTTTTACCATAATGTCGTATTTTTTAAAGCATTTCAGATTCATAATTTTATAGCTTCTGAAATTCAATTCTGGTTATGAAAATTGTTTTGGCCAGTTAATGTGCCATAATTTTTTCCTTATTTTCTATGTGCTTGTTCACTTAAAGGTTTTTTTTTTTTTTTTAAGTTGATAAATTTCGTATGAATAAAGTATCTGGTATAGTGGTTAGTGACTCTGAGTTCTGCACCGATGGGCCTGGGTTCGAATCCTGAAGAAGGCATAGGTGCTTGGAATTTTCTAAGTATAATGTCTGTGTGTTTAGGGAGCACACAAAATACACATTGAGCCAAAAGTCCTTTTGAGAGGTTGGTGGTAAGGAAAGAGAAGTAGGAGACCCTGGGACCCCCTAGTATCTTCTTCCTCAAATTGGGGTGGAACAGCACAGTTAGTGCCATGGGACTATACCTGTATGACCAATAGTGAATTTCTGGTATCTTGCCCACTTCTACCTGTATCTGTCTAAAATTGCATGCCTAGTGTAATTAAAAGTCAAATTGTTTTGCTGCCTTTTATAACTGTGAATGTAATTTAATTTTTTGGTTGTTAACAGAATTTTGTAATGAATTTCATAATAATTTCCTAATGACTTTTCCCAGTTTACTTGCATATTTTTGCTGAATTCAATTGCTAAAGATGACTTCACGTATAAAGCCTCCTGTGTATGTACTCTCTGAGATACCAGGCTTAATAGAATGCTTGAAAAGTGCTGAAATGGCTGAAATAAGATCTGCAAAAACATCAGGTATTTATTACTGCCCACTTTTTCAACTTTCCTGTATTTTATTTACAAATAAATTGACTGTATAACATAAAATAAAATCAGCATCTAATCAAAGATGCAATGAAAGATTTTTACTTTTTAAAAATATTTATTTTACTTTTTTTTACTTGTAATATGCATAATTTCCGTAATGTTGTTTCTGCTATTTGTAGGTAAAATTCAATAAACTTTATTTTGCATGTAAAGAAATTTAACAGCCAAATTGAGAAGTCATTAAGATGCTAAATTTGCAGCAGTATCAATTTAGAGCATAGTTTCTCCTTAAAGGAATGCTGAATATCATTCAGATATTTCTTTTTAATGATATTTTTTAATTTTCATTTATTTATTTTTCCTCCTTTCAGAAATGTTGAATGGTTTTCAGAAAATTTAGTGAATTGTAGGCATACAGAATAATCTCTGTTCTGCTTTATTTTCAGTTAGTAAAACTAAAATGATGACTAGAGTCGGAGAAATTAACCATATACAAATAATGGTTTTCTTAACTATTTGCAGTATGTAATCACTTTAAGGATTGCAGTATTTTAAGGTCCAGTACTTTAAGTTATCTTTTACTTTTAACCTTTGAACTGCGATTTCTATCGGTGTTGTGCATATGTAGTTGGTATATGATCTCCAGTCACCAAGCAAATTAACTTTGATATCTGTGATGCAGTCAACAGAGACAAGGGTACGGAATTCAATCATGTGCAACTTGTTATTCATTTATTTGCAGAAGTCTAAAGGTGATGAGTAAACCAATCGTGTCAACAAAAAATATTAGTAACTAAAACAATGGTGGGCTTTAAGGAGAGAATACGATGGCTTGAAAATATACTTCCTTCTGAAATGTAGAAATATCAACATTTTAGCAAGAAATAATTTTATTGAAGAAGCAATCGGTTGAATTTAGTTTTTTAAAAAAGTAACTGCATCTCCAGTGCTAATTACACACATAAGAGTAGTGATAAATATTAAGAAATTCAGATGTAAAAAATGAAGTTAGTGTCCTTGAATTAGTAAAGTTTTGCATGATGAGTATTTCTCAGTATTACTTCTGCATGCAGGTTTACTTTTAAAGCAGGGGGACTTATGATTTTCTTAAACTGCTGTACCCAATGCTATAGGTGTTAGCAGAATTTTACTAATGGCATGCTTTAAAAACTAATTTGATATCTTTTTGAATATCATGTTTCTTTAAATGTATAGTTATATGAAACTATATTAAATATATAGTCAAGGTTTTACTTTTTTTATTAATAGGTACATATTTTTAAGCTTGAATATATTTTTAGTAACCTTATCTTAACTAACTGAAATGTCATTTAAATTTTTTTTTCCAAAGAAATATGCTAGAAGCTCAATAATGAATCGTAATAATTTTTTTTAGGTAATGATACATTTAAATGAAACCAACATTTTTTTTATAAACTAATTCGTTTAGTTGTCTTAACATGCTAACCAAATTTTAATAAAATCAGCATTTATATTCAGCAGCTTGGAAGTAAATTCATATTCAGCAGCAGTCATGGCAACTAGAGTTTTGTCTGCCCCCTTTCCTCGTCTGTCTACAGCTTTCCATGTCCTTCTCTCATCTGATATGTGCTTATTATCTACGTATTTACTTATTTTAAATTTATGAGAATTTGTTAAACATTAGGGTAAATTTTTTTAGAATAATAACAGGACTTAAAGCATATTTTGTTTATACCTATGTTTTATTATATTAATTATATACTATATACTTATGTTTTATGATAATTTTTTAGAATAATAAAATAACAGGACTTTAAGCATATTTTGTGTGTACTTGTGTTTTATTATATTAATTATATATGCATACTTTTTTTGTTTTATATGAATGTACACTGTGCAAAAAAAAGGGGGGTCAGTTCTATGTCTCCCGTTCTACTGGAATGGGCTGATTGACAAAATTCAAATTGAGTTTTCCATATCTCGAAAGAACGATTTAGAATATGTATTAGATTTATATATACCACTATTCTAACATAGGTATTTTGACATAAAATCGAGCTTTTTCTGAAATAACATACCAATTCTTTTACATATTTCGATTCTACTACTCAAATTATGCCAGACTGCCAAGTTTTGTAAAAATCGTACGAGTAGTTTTAAAAAATTAGTTCTCAAAATTTGAGCTCCTCAATGTTAACTTGAATTTGGCATATATTTATTAAACTTTTTTGTTTTTTCCTTTTACATTTCAAAATTTAGGTTCACCCCAAATAAAATTCACCCATTTTTTGTGTTTTATTTTTTAAATTTCTATTTTTAAGTAATTTTTATAAATTTTTTGAAAAAAATTTTGAATTATAACCTATAAAATGTTTACCATCATCTTAAAGTAGGTATAATTCTAAGCATACCTGAAAAAAATTAGACTTTTTAATTCAAAATTTTCGTGCCCACCAGAGGCCGAGCGGTAAAGTCGCTGAACACTGGTAGTTTGGTCCGAGGTTAGAATCCCGTGAACAGATGTTTTTGTGGTTTTCCCCATGTGTAACATGTATATGAGCCAGTTTTCCTTAGAAAGTCCTCCACAAAGGCATCCCTCCCCTTAGACAGATAGCCCTCAAGGCTTTGCCGTAATTAAATAACCTAACCTATTCAAAATTTTCCAAGATAGACATGAATTAACATATTTTCACATTTTGAAATTTGCCATCTTTTTTTTTGAGCGATAATAACGCCAAATGTGGTTCATGGATTTTTGTTACAGGGAATAAGCCTGTAACTATTTTTAAACTTAAATTCCAAATAAATTTTTACAGAGAATTAATTATATGAAATTTTTCCCATAATGATGCATAATAAATATTTATTAATACTATATGAAAAGCTATTTTTTTTTAAAGTATAGATGATATTATTCAAATTTTTAACGTTTTTTAAAATTTTTCTTTCTTCCCTTTTTTTTTTAATATTTGTAAGAGTAAATTTTTACCTTCGACATGTTACCGTCTGCTACTTTACTTTGCATTTAAACTGAATTGTCTAAAACTGAGAAAGTTTGTTTGATGTTTATTTTCACAATGTTTTTAAGCAAACAGGACGTTAACAGTTTGGATCGTGTCCAAGCTTTAAAAATTATATATATAAGTATAAACATTTACATTAATCCTCTTCAAAAGAATGTTTTAGGTAGCTAATTTTTCTCTTGCATTATAGATTGTATAAAAAACGTGATCTTTAATATGATTTTGATTCTTTGTAGCCGATATAATAATCGGGTCACTCAGTGGTACAGAATAAACACTTCTGGACTGTCTCATTTCTTTGTCATTTAGCAAAAGATCTTTTAATTAAAATATTTATCCTTTAGACTTAGCTTTAAACTTTAGCTAAAATGCTTGAAAATAGAACGCTGGTTTCAACCGAAACACAGTTGATGTAATTGATATTTTAAAAAAATTGACAAAATGCAAAATTTATAGAAATGTAACAATCAAAAAATCGTGTTTTTTTTTTTTTTTTTTTTGTGAGCACTGAAAATAAATTTAGAAGGAAAGAAGAAAATTAGGGAGAAAAGTAAGCAAATATTTGAACGGGAATGTGGCTGTCAGAAATACTAGGGTGCTTCGAAAAATTTAATGCTTTTGAATATACTTTCAGAATACTTCAAGGAATTTGGGTGTTCAAAGAGAAAACACTTGGATGTGTACACCAGCAAATACCATCAATTGAGCTTGTGCTAACGAAAAAAAAAAAAAAAAAAAAAGATATCATTGCAGATTATAGTTAAGAGCGACTGGTTTTCGACTATATTTTTGCACAAACTTAAATTACGTTATAGAACATATCATCATAAATAGAGAATCCCATGATTTCTTAGTCGAATTAGTTGAATATTCAGGAATTTATCCAGTGATGTATGTGGATGTCACCTAAAGACATTTTCCCTTTTGATGAAACCAGTCTTTCCTTTCATCTCATGTCTTCAAAATGCTTAGCCTCTAAAGACTGATAAAGGCTCTGACCAAATACCGATGAAATGGATTGAATTGGATTATTAAGTTATGGCAAAGCAAGGCTATCGGCATAAAGGAGGGATTCCTTCGTGAAGAACTTTTTAAGGGAAGCCAGCTGGCATACACGTTACAATGAGAAAAAACCGCGACAATGCCCATGCAACCAGCCCGTTCGCCTGGATTTGAACCCCGGAGCGACCTACCAGGGTTCAGTGACTTTAACGCTCTGCCGTTTGTGGGCCTTTATGAATGCCTTTATTGAAAATGAATGTCAGAAATGCTAAGATGTTTCGAAAAGTTGGATGCTTTTTAATATACTTGCAAAATGTCTGAAGAAAAAGAGCAAGCCATTAAGAAGAAAAAAATAAATTTTTGCATAAATTTAGTTTTTTTTTTTTTTAAATTAAAAACTTTTTTAATCTTATGATATTTGATTCTTGCAATTTCAAAAATAAGATAGTAGACTAAAATATGAGTAACATTATAAGAAACTAAATATAGGATGATAAAATTGTGTAAAGCAATGTATGCAAGTTATCCTAAGTTAAAATGTCGGTTATTCATCTTTTTCATTTATGTACCTTTTCTGAAGAGAACATTGAAAGGCATGTTATCTGTGCTTTACTGTATTTTCTCTTTTAATATATTCAGTTTTCAGATGCATTGTGGTCAGGGGCACAAAGTGTTCTTCCAAAAGAAATGCAATTCAAATAATAAAATCAAATCCTGGAAAATTTATATTAATAAATATATTTAAAATGCTCAGTTCGATTGAATAAATAGAAAATTTTAAAACAATTATCTGAAGAGACAATGCAACACAAACAATTAAATTACAAAGAAAATTATTTGAAAAAAAATAAATGATGCACTTTTTAATTAAACTATGCAGTTCAAATGGGTAAATAGAAATTTTTAAAACAGTTATTTGAAGGAAACCATACAACTAAACAATTAAAATAAAATTTGGAAAAAAAATTACTTAAAATAACA